CATCCTGTTGTCGCTGACTCCTGTCCGCCTGGCCCCTCCTCGAGGCCGTAGGGGAGACTCGCCTTGACCTGCTGGGAGACGATAACCTGGGTAGTCTGCCCACAGGCTGCCCTACCCGCTCGTCCTCCCTGCGTTCCCTTCCGCGGTCCCCTTCCCTTCGGTGCTTTGCCGCCTGACCATCCCGGCCGTATGCACTCTTCTGCTCTCCCTGTGAATTGGCTGACGATACCGATGCACTGCACCGATATCTCTCCCTTCTTTCTCTGGTGCTGGACTTCCGTCTCCCCCACTGGCTCCTGGACCGGCTCCTGCTCCTGTGTCTCCCTCCCACCGCTGCCCTTCTCCGTATGCTGTGCCTGCTGCTGTCACTGTGCTGTTCTCCACTCTCTCCGCCTCCTGCTCCAGACCCGCTGACCCTGGGAGCAACCCGTGGGGGGCTCCTGCTCATCTCTGGCTCCCCTGCCATGCTCTCTCCTCCTTGGACTCTGCCTCTCTTCCACGTCCCCTGTACCCATCCTCCCGTCTCTTGCTGTGTCCACACTGGATCCCCTGATGGCCTCCTGGGGGCTAGGAGCCACCCCACCCCGCTGATCCACCATTCACTTGGGCTCCTGTCCCTTAAACCACCTCCCTGTCTTTGCCACTGTGCCTGGCCCCTGCAGGGGTTAAATCTGTCCTTGCCCTGCCTTCCGCATCCCCCCCTGCCACCTGTAGGGGCGCTAGCGCCAAGCTGTCTGCCTGCATCCCTGCTCCCTGCCCTCCAGCATCGCCACCAGGGGCGGACTCACCGGGGCGCTGATTGTCTGGTCCCCCAGCTGCGTCCTCTGCCGTGCCGGATCTGGCTTCCAGGCTTGCCCTCCCGCCCCCACGGACTTGCTGCGAGGCTCCCTCCGTGTTGCAGGCCTCCGCGCCTGCCCAGCGCCCGACCGGCGCGCTCCTGCGGCCCGTCCGTCCGCCTGGGCTCCCCTCCTGGTCCGCTGGACGACGGACTCCGGCACCTCAGCTCCGTGGGTGCAGCTCCTGGGCTGAGCCATTGGGGCGGTCGTGCCCTTCTTCTCGGTCTCTTCTCCATCACCGCGGGGGGAGTGGAGCGGACATGCTCGGGACCCCCAATTGATCTTGCAGCCAGGACATCCCCTTCTCTTCCACCATTCTTCGGACACCAGCCAGGATCTCTTCAGCAGAAGCCATGCCTGAAAGAGAAAAAACAAACCACACAGACCTGCTACAAGTAACAAGTAAGTGAGGTTTTGATAAGGATGGCCACTTCACTAAAATGGCCGTTATTTAAACCCTTATTCTCCTCCCCCCAAACTAAATATCAATTTTATCCACACCCCTTGACCCTAACTTCACCTGCCCACTCCCTGGCCCTGTCAAGGCCCACTCCCCACTGCGTTGCTCCATGGGCTTCAGATTGGGTGTGTGTGACGGTGGTCACCATCACTGCGATCATAAGATGGACACTTCAATTAGATCCCTGGTTGACTCCTATGTTTAAGCCACCCTGTGCCCATTGTAGGTGCAAGGTGTGCATATTGTATGTGTATTAGGTATTTATTGTTAATCTTTTGTGTGCTCTCTTGTCCTGCTGATGCTTGCTACCAACTTGGAGGATTTGGCTATGGAGCCTGCATAACAACATCTGTTAGCAGGGCCGTCTTTAACAAGGGGCTAGCGGCAGTGGCGTACTAAGGGGGGGGCGGAGGGGGCGGTCCGCCCCGGGTGCCACCAGGGTGGGGGGTGTCTTGGGAGGGCATGCTGCAGCCGCTCGATCACTCTGTAGAGAGCCTCAGGCGGCTGCAGCTTTGCCCGGGCTGGTGCGTCCATGAGGGTGCACCGCACCACCCGGGCGCAGCCTGAGGAGAGGGGCTGACAGGAGGGAAGTGCTCAGCGCTCCCTCCTGTCACTCCCTCACTGTAGCTTGGCCGAGCCCTGTATCATGGTCCACAAGGAAATTGGAGGGGGGAGAGAAGGAAATTGAAGGGGGGGGGGGGAGAGATTGACATTCATCACACACAATGCACCCCTTGCACACAGAAAAACACACAATGCATTACACACAGTACATTACACACACAGACACACATACACAAGCAATGCAACCGTTTCACACAATGCATCCCTTACACACACAGAAACACACAATGCATTCATTACACACACTCAATGCACCCCTTACACACATCAATGCATCCCGTACATACACAGAAACACACCTTGCAGCCCTTACACATACAAACACAGATTCACACAATGCATTCCTTACACACATCTCAGGACATCCCCTACACACTCCACCCCCTGTGAACAAACTCATTGGTGGAACATGAAGGTGGACCCTGGGACCCAGACCTTGAGCTGTGTAAAGGGCCCCCCAAAAAATGGAGCTGCTTCCCGTTCTCCCAGAATATTGCTTTTTGTGACCACCGTTACAAACCGCCTCCAGAGAGCCTGTTCTATACCAGATCAGTGGAGCCAGACTGCAGCTAGAGCCCATCATCATCCTCATCTGGTTGTAAGTAGGCAATCTAGTATATTATTCGTGGCACTAATCTCAAATTTACCTCACATTAAAGAAACACTATAGTCCCCAGAACCACTGCAGCTTAATGTAGTGGTTCTGGTGTCTATAGCCTGTCCCTGCAGGCCTTTTAATGTAAACACGGCGGCACTGCAGCACTGGTGTTAGACAACATGGCAAATCATATGGGTGGGGCATTGTGATGTCACATGGGGGGCGTCAAACTTTACTTTTGCCTAGGGCGGCAAAAATCCTTGCACTGGCTGGAGGGGGCTGTGTGAGCTGTGGCCGCACAGTGCCCCATGGTAGTTAGGGTGCTATGCGGCCAGTACAGCTCACACAAGCAAACAGCTGATAAACTGGCCGCACGGAGGAAAAGTGGGGCGGAGCTAAGCAAAATCGGAGACAGAGCCAAACTGGCGCTGGGGCAGGGCTTTTGGGGGGGCAAGGGGGTGCCAAGCACAGGATCCGCCCCAGGTGCCATATGCTCTAGGTACGCCCCTGGCTAGAGGGGCAGCTGCCCCGGGCCCTGTTGCTCCTGGGGTGTCTAAAGCAGCTGCCCTGTGGGCCCACAGCCAGGTCTGAGCAGCACACCGGTACACACACAGTCAGATACACACTGACTGTGTGGACTGCAGTAGATGATGTAATCAGGGGCCACCAGCCCTTTAAGAGAGCTCCAGACCGGGCCTCTGTCTTCCTGCCTGCTGGGAGGAAGTGTTGTGAGGTCACTTCACATTAACAGAGTTAATGGGGAGGAGGAGGCATACACAGAGAGAAGGAAGAGGTACAGACCAAGAAGAAGAAGACTCCCATCAATCACAGCCATCCAGCTCCCACTGGACTCCAGGGAAGCCACACTTCTGTAAAGGTAAGGAGGGTGGCTAAACTATGTAAATTTATATGACTATGTGTGGTGTTTGTGTCAGTGTGTGTGTATGTATCTGACTGTGTGTGTGTGTGTATCTGACTGTGTGTGTGTGTATCTGATTGTATGTGTGTATGTATATATGACAGTATGCGTGTGTGTGTGTGTATATCTGACTGTATTTGTGTGTGTATCTGACTGTGTGTGTGTATATCTGAGTGTGTGTGTGTGTATATCTCACTGTGTGTGTGTGTATATCTCACTGTGTGTGTGTGTGTATCTCACTGTGTGTGTGTGTATCTCACTGTGTGTATCTGTTGTGTGTGTATCTGACTGGCTGTGTGTGTATCTGGCTGCGTTTGTGTCAGTGTTTGTATCTGACTGTGTGTGTGTGTATCTGACACTGTGTGTGTGTATCTGACACTGTGTGTGTATCTGGCTGTTTGTGTCAGTGTGTATTTGGCTGTTTGTGTCAGTGTGTGTTTATCTGGCTGTGTTTGTGTCAGTGTACATGTACCTTTGAGTCAGTGTTTATGTGTATCTGTGTGTATGTATTCCTGTGTGTTAGTTTTTATATGTACCTGTGTGTGTATCTATGCGTGTGGCAATGCATACATCCCATCTAACATTGCACACAAATACACCTCTGCTTTCCAGTATTAACAATGCACACAAATACACCACTGCATGTGTATCTGTGTTCCTGTGTGTATCTCAGTGTTTGTGTAAGTGAGCATCTGTGTGACAATGCATACATTCCAGCATTCCTAAGCCAACACTGCACACTCTCTGTGTGTGGATGTGCCAGTGTTTTTATCTGTGTGTGCATGTGTATTTATGTATGTGGCTGTGTGTGTATACGCCAGTCTTTGTCAGTGTGTGCATGTGTCCAAATGTGTGCATGTATCAGTGTGCTAATGTGTATGTATGTCATACATCACGGCAATCAAACACAACATGCAAACACACCCCTGCAAACATTACATACAAACACACCTCTGAATTCAAACTCAAAAAGTATATAGAAACACATCCCTACACTGAAACACACACACTGCACACACATTCTCTATACAACAACATGCTCACATTCAAATGCACAAACACTGCTCACAAATACATCCTTGCAAGAATGGCCAAATGGTAGATCCCCAGCTGGCATAGCATCATGGGAATTGTACAACAGATGAGGATCTATCTTTTCTCTGGTCATGCGCTAGAGGGGAGGCTCAAAACAATGTCTTGCACCAGGGCCCTGTCTACATTAGTTCTGCCACTGTGTTGGGGTGGAGGGCGTGATTGCATGCCAGAGAGTGAAAGTGTGTGTGTTGGTGGGGGGAGGGAAACCAGAAATTCTTTGGTTATGCAAACCGATTGTTGCAGCAGCTGTCCGGGTGGCTGGTCTCAGACGATCTTGGAGGTGAAGATGCTGGATGTGGAGGTCCTGGGCTGGTGTGGTTACACATGCTCTGTGGTTGTGAGGCCGGTTGGATGTACTGCCAAATTCTCTGAAACGCCTTAAGAAACGGCATGTGGTAGAGAAATTAACATTCAATTCACAGGCAACAGCTCTGGTGGACATTCCTGCAGTCAGCATACCAATTCCACGCTCCCTCAAAACTTGTAACATCTGTGGCATTGTGCTTTGTGATAAAACTGCACATTTTAGAGTGGCCTTTTATAGTGGCCAGCCTAAGGCTGTGCAATAATCAGGCCATCCATCACATATCTTCCCTCATAGAGATAGACAGACCTGTGGCCAGAACCACGATGGGGTCCAATGTGACTGGACAAGCATGTGGGCATGGTACTCCATGATGGCGGTTCGTCACAAGCACATGGGGTTATTTACTGTATTGGAGGCTCTTGTGTTTTCATATAATTTTCCATCTATGCTGGTTTGTATATCTCTATGAGTGAATCTATAAATACTATATAGATAAAATGCAAGGTTACAACATATGCAACATTGCATTTAGGTACACATGGGGATTGCCTTATGAAGGGTTATTCAATAAAGTGAGATTTCAAGGTGAATTTCAAATTGTTTCAAATTTAGTTTGACTACACTAGCCTTAAATTTTGAATTACCTTTAAATTCACTTTGAATTCTCACTTTAGTGAATAACAGGGTTAATGTGTTAACTAACTAAAAGGTTACTCCAAGTATCATAACCACTATAGCCCGCTGTTGTGGTTGTGGTGCTAGGAGTACTGGGCACAGTTTCCTGGTAATGGGGACCATTTAGCTGCACATGCAAAGTTTAACAGTTGTAACTCCACCTCCGGCAGTGTCGTAGGAGTGCAGTTAGCAAGCCCGGAACTAGAGTTCCTTACCTGAGTAGGTGCCAGGTGCCAAGGGTCCTCCTTTGGACAGTGATGTCTTCTGGCTTCTGCAGAGAGCCTGCGCTGTCCACTCTCAGCCAATGAATGTAACTGTATACTTAGGAATATAACACTTTGAAGATACAAATATATATATATATATATATATATATATACACACACACACATATATATTTGTTTGTTTTTTTTGTTATAAATATGCAGATTTCTCATAGAAATCTGCACTTTTATAAACTGGTGTTAAACTAAGATACTCCTCACCCATAAAGCACTTCAGCAAGGTAGAGTGGTCCTTTAATGGATACACTCTACCATTCAGGGAAGGCTCTGAGCACACGGAGCACACAAACGTTTTGTTGGTGGCTGCAAAAGCTGCTTTAATTGTCCTACATACCACAGATGCTTGATACTGTATATGGCTATGATCTTCACATAAAGGTACTATTTTTACATTTTCATAACATTTGTAGGATACTGCGTTGGTACAAATGCCTTCATGTTTGTTTGTTTTTTACAAATACATGTATTTTAGTTCTGTCACACTGTAGTTGACAACACTTCAAAGTTAAAGGGCCTTTAACTCCCCCCTCCCTCGCACATCCTCCCCCCTTTTTCCCCCCACAGTAAATAAATGGTTACAAACTCTCGCATTTCTATAAAACGTATCTAAGTGCAAAGGGGATACTGCACCCAGACGCCTTCAATGAGCTGATGTGGTTTGGGTGCCTATAGTGTCCCTTTAAAATTTCCAGAGCATACAGACTGAGATTACCTAAAACTTTGTGACCCCTTAATAGTTTTTGTAAAGGAAGAATTAATAATTGGAAAACTTATATTGTGCGTATTGTGATCCTTGTTTGCAGATAGCACGGTCCTCTAGGGTAAACAACAGGCACAGTCCTTTTATTTTCATATAATGCAGGCACTTTATTTGTAAGTCCACAAAGGAGACAGCAGCAAATGAAAACATAAATATAACACAAATCCCTATAAACAAAAACTTAGCTTGTCTGAGCACTTACTAGCAGCAGGTTCCCTATCTCTCAGGGGTTAAACAAGAACAAAACAATATTGGTTTCACCAACCTAGTCGCATTGTCAGCTCTTTGTACTCCAATGCTTAGTCAGCCTGTTGCTTTCCTTTCTGCACTCCCAGTGCTCCAAGCCAGACTTAACTGCTTTCCTTTTGCACTCCTAATGCTCAGTCTCCTTGAGTCTCTCACTGGAGAGAACAGCCTCTCTCCTACCTGCTTCCCGGGAGGAAGCCAGCAATCCCCCTTTACCTGCCTAGCAGGGAGGGGTTTATTCCCACTGCTGCAGCTGATTATCTGCAGCTGGGCAGTGGGTTGGAGACAGATTAAAACTCTGGCCTGGATCTTATTTCTCCCAGTTGTGTATAAACTGAGGAGTGGAGCATTGGCCCACCCTGCTCTCCAAATGCTCCACCCCAGGGGCCCATAACTAAACGTAGCTTTGTGTTGCACACTACACATACAACACGTACTTCCCCTGGGGTTAAATGTTAAAGGCCTCTCTGCCTTCACTTTATCACAGTATTTATAATATTTAAAGTTTTAGATATCCCTGTACAACCCTCCCCCCAGACCATTTTAGTCAGTGTATATGTGCCAGGTACACATTATATGTTCCAAATAAAAAACAAGAAAGAAAGAAACAAACAAAAAAAAATAGTGAAGGGATTATACCCTCACCCTTTTTACTACAACTGTATAACTATATTGTTGGTTGACTTCAGATGACCCCAACTATCAATCAAGATACACAGCAAAAGTAAAAACATGCTAGAATTCCACAAGTCCAACCATCACCAATAGAAAAAGAAAACATTATCTGGAGCAATTCAGAGAAAACAATACGTATCCAAGCATCTAGAGTGACTGTAATTATGGAAAGAACAACCTTTGTGGTGATAAGATATGATACTATCCACACACCGGTTTCTGTACATTAACTGAAGAATACAAATTATCTATATAGTCAATAATTTGTATGTCATCAATGTGCTTTTACACCCTGTTCCAAATTATAATGCAAATTCTATTTAAGTGTCACAAAGATTAAATATTTTGTTTTTCAGTTTAACTCATGGATGGCATTGTGTCTCAGGGCTCTTTTGATCACTGAAAACAATCTCGGACACCTGTGATAATTAGATTGCCAGGTGAGCCCAATTTAAGGAAAAACTACTAAAGAAGGGGCGGAGCTAAGCGGCCATGCTGAGAGGTTGCACTGGAGACGAGCTCCGTGTAAAAACGCTCCAAAACAGCCAAAATCACGGCTAAAACCAACAAAATCGATGGTTAAGCGACCTGGAAAAGGGAGACCTTACATAGCAGAGCCAAGAGCCAAGCATCCCGACCGAAATCAGAGGCTTCTAGCCGGGGATAGACCTGAGGCCTGCTAGAGGCCTACTCAGCCAAAGTGAGATACTGCAGCCACTCACCTGGAGGTCTCCTCGGCATACTTCCAACCTCCCCCCTGCCGGAGAGGGATATCCCGGCAACAAAAGCCTGAGACACAGCGACTAAAACCCAGAGGTGACTGTCCTACACAGCAGGCACAGCACCAGCTATCACTGGGTCATTGAGAAGCAGCAAAGATGGCCGCCAAGCGAAGGCCCCAAAAACAAAGCACACAAGCACAACCAACCACGGACCCCCTGGGGGACTTCGACCAACTCTGTGTGAGACTCTGGTCTATGCTGAGTGAGCGTGGAATGGCTTACTGCCGGGCAGTGAAACTGGTGGCCACGTGGATCCGTCCAGCAACCAGGCGGCGCCATTACAGGCATCCACTACAAACACCCAGAAAGACAACTAGACCCTACAAACACCGTCGAGCTCAAGGGCGGGAAACTATGCCATATTACGATGGCCCCCACACCCAAGAGAACAAGACTGCTAAGCCAACCTCCCACACAAGCTACTCACCAGCTCAGCGGGGCTCACCTTCACCCCTCCAAGCCACAGCTGCAAACCGGGGAGCTGCACAGTTGAACACTCTGCTAGATACCGCCGGAGCGGAGCCCCAGTGCCAGAACAGTTTTTGGGAGATCAACACTGACAACAGGAGACACGTCCATGCGCTGGGCATTGGCTGAAGGACCTGCCTCAGGTGCACACGCCATAAGTGCACCTGGAGGGCACATTCACAGCCGCCGACACACGGACTTCCTACACCACGTAACTATGGCTGTCCAATGCAGAGATTAAGTGCATTAAATGAACACTGTGGCCGACCATTTAGCCTATGTTAATCCTCCCTATGTTGCCCTTCTATAACTGGTGCCGCAAGGAGGGTTCTCACACCGTGACCCCTACCGATGTACGGCATCGTAAGCTACTAAACATATGACAGTCACCCTCACTAATTTTCTGATCCTTAAAGCGATGGTATTTTATGTTAAACTAAGAAACAAGCACGTTCGCATTGTGGCCAATCTGGTCAACTAATATGCAACTAGCATGTAAATATATCCTGACCTAAGCAGCATGTAGCCAGGGCCAGTGCACTAAGTTTTCTTCCCTTTTGCAAGCCTATTACGTGACACACGCTTTATAACATAGTGAGTTAGGCATTTATAGAAATTAACGTTGCCTCATCGCTTTCTGTTCCATTGTGGTTTTATTTCTTCTTCCTTGAAAATATTTGGCTGCCGACCCATGACTATAATTAAAATACGAAACTAGAGGCGCGCCGGGGGTTAAACCCGCAGCTAGCCTATACTAACCATATGTACCTCACTCTTGTACAAGAGCTAGACTAAGCCTGTATTACTCAATTAGAATGTTATTCTATGTTGCCTAAAATGAGCTAATTAGATATACCAGCGATGTTACCTTCAGCTAGGAGTCAGAATTAGCTGTTAGACCTATGACTGTTTATTATTTTAACCATCCTTAAAGGACCACTCTAGGCACCCAGACCACTTCAGCTTAATGAAGTGGTCTGGGTGCCAGGTCCTTCTAGGCTTAACCCATTTTTTCATAATTATAGCAGTTTCAGAGAAACTGCTATAATTATGAATGGGTTAAGCCTTCCCCCTAATCCTCTAGTGGCTGTCTCACTGACAGCCACTAGGCGCTTATGCGTTTTCACTGTGATTTTCACAGTGAGAGCACTAAGGTCCATAGGAAAGCATTGTAAATGCTTTCCTGTGACAATCGCGCCACAGCTCTTTCGCGCGCGCGCATTCAGCCGGCGGGGCGGATCGGAGGCGGATCGGAGGAGGAGAGCTCTCCGCCCAGCGCTGGAAAAAGGTAAGTTATTACCCCTTTCCCCCTTCCAGAGCCGGGCGGGAGGGGGTCCCTGAGGGTGGGGGCACCCTCAGGGCACTATAGTGCCAGGAAAACAAGTATGTTTTCCTGGCACTATAGTGGTCCTTTAAACATAAAAAATTGTGCTAGTTTTCTCATGTACCTCTATGTCTAAATGTCTATATAACGTGTTGGAGGATTGCCTTTGGGGTACCTCACAACTGTCTGTTATGAGCTTATGCACTACAAAAATAAAAAAAAAAAAAAAAAAAAATACTAAAGAAAGGTTTGTTCCACATTATTAAGCAGAGCACAATTTTCATGCAATATGGGGAAGAAAAATGATCTCTCTGCTGCCGAAAAGAGTAAAATAGTTCAATGCCTTGGACGAGGTATGAAAACATTAGATATTTCACGAAAACTTAAGCGTGATCATCGCACTATTAAGAGATTTGTGGCTGATTCAGAGCACAGATGGGTTTGTGCAGATAAAGGCACATTGAGGAAGATTTCTGCCAGATCCATGCATCGGATCAAGAGAGCAGCTGGTAAAATACCATTACACAGCAGCAAACAGATATTTGAAGCTGCTGGTACTTTAGGGTCCCCAAAGGTGTAAAGATGACCTCTGCAAAGTATGTGGAGTTTCTGACTGACCACTTACAGAAGGAAGAACTATGCTTTCCGTAATAAAATCATCTTCATGCATGACAATGCACCATCTCATGCTGCAAAGAATACCTCTGCATCAATGACTGCTATGGGGATAAAAGGAGAGAAAGTCATGGTGTGGCCTCCATCCTCACCTGACCTCAATCCTATTGAGAACCTTTGCAGCATCCTCAAGCAAAAGGTCTATGAGGGTGGGAGGCAGTTTACATCCAAACAACAGCTCTGGGAGGCTATTCTGACATCTTGCAAACAAATTCAAGCAGAAACTGTCCAAAAACTCACAAGTTCAATGGATGCAAGACTTGTGAAGCTGATATCAAATAAGGGGCCCTATGTTAAAATGTAACGTGACCTGTTAAAATGTTTAAAAAGTTAAAATGTTGTTACAAGTTTGATTGAAATAGCTTCTGATTTCAGTAAATATGCTGCAAACACAACAAATGACAATTTTCAGTTCTTTACAACCTATAAAGTGTTTTGAAACTTACTGTGCCTAATAATTTGGAACAGTGCAGTGTTTAAAAAAAATACTGTTATCATTAGGAGGTTTGTTAAATAAAATTTGAATTGTTGATAACATGAGAATTATGCTGACTGTTATTTACATCAATTATTTAGGTAAATGAGAAAAATATAATTTGCATAATAATTTGGAACAGGGTGTAAAGGCACTGTAAATTGATAAAATTAGTTTTTCATAAAGAATTTTTATTAAATACTCATATTGACTGAGTTGGAATTTCACTGAAATTCCAACCCAGTCAAAAGATATACGAAGACAAAATAGGAACTACTTTGTCTCAGTATTTTTCCTCCACCTGACACTTCCTAACAGGAGCTACCAATGTCAAAAAGCATCAATCCCACAGGAATTGTCTCTATTTATGGAGGATTCAATGGTCTTGTGGGAACTCCGTAGACCTCAATGCTGTACTCACGAACATGCGCAAGTGGCAGCTGAAGCAACGGGAGCAGAAGAGGATCCCCAGAAGAGGATGGCAGCACTTGAAAGGGAGAAGTTCAGTTTAGTAAAGCTCACTTTTGCCCATCCTGGCCACCGGACACCTAGTGGAAATGTCACCGTAGGGGTCTTTGCAAATCATGCAATGTCCCCCAATGGTGACAGTGCCGCTTTAAGCTATATAAAGTATACTTAAACTATACCTACTAGGAAACTCATTTATGTAATTGGAATTATGGGCACTCCTATTTTCTTTCAATAAATCATGTTACCAAAATTTGATGGATAACATAAACCCCTGCACCAAAAATAGCAGAAGATTTATTTAAAACAGTTCAGTATATTGCCTCTTTTACCTGCCTTTCTTTGCATGTGTCCCTTTTTTAGAGGGTCATTTGAAGTACAATAACAACTTTGCATTATAACAAAGTTTATAGTACCCTACAGTGTCAACTCTGAAAAAGGCTTATCGCTGCTGTGATATGTATAACCCCCCCCATCCCCCCATAAATGACTGCATTTATAACACAGCCCCTTATTGTCTTAAGATGCACAGATGCAGCTTGCCTATACTAATTGTTCCTAAATTGTGCACATCTTGGACTGAACTATTGCTAAACTGAGAATTGATACCCCCAGTATCTACCTGACTATTGGCAAGATAATTTTGAACTTATTTGTTTGCATGACATTGGGTCCTGTAGTTGTATAATGGTATGTACTCATGGTTAGAATGCTTATGCATTAAAGGGATACTATACAGGGAGTGCAGAATTATTAGGCAAATGAGTATTTTGACCACATCATCCTCTTTATGCATGTTGTCTTACTCCAAGCTGTATAGGCTCGAAAGCCTACTACCAATTAAGCATATTAGGTGATGTGCATCTCTGTAATGAGAAGGGGTGTGGTCTAATGACATCAACACCCTATATCAGGTGTGCATAATTATTAGGCAACTTCCTTTCCTTTGGCAAAATGGGTCAAAAGAAGGACTTGACAGGCTCAGAAAAGTCAAAAATAGTGAGATATCTTGCAGAGGGATGCAGCACTCTTAAAACTGCAAAGCTTCTGAAGCGTGATCATCGAACAATCAAGCGTTTCATTCAAAATAGTCAACAGGGTCGCAAGAAGCGTGTGGAAAAACCAAGGCGCAAAATAACTGCCCATGAACTGAGAAAAGTCAAGCGTGCAGCTGCCACGATGCCACTTGCCACCAGTTTGGCCATATTTCAGAACTACAACATCACTGGAGTGCCCAAAAGCACAAGGTGTGCAATACTCAAAGACATGGCCAAGGTAAGAAAGGCTGAAAGACGACCACCACTGAACAAGATACACAAGCTGAAACGTCAAGACTGAGCCAAGAAATATCTCAAGACTGATTTTTCTAAGGTTTTATGGACTGATGAAATGAGAGTGAGTCTTGATGGGCCAGATGGATGGGCCCGTGGCTGGATTGGTAAAGGGCAGAGAGCTCCAGTCCGACTCAGACGCCAGCAAGGTGGAGGTGGAGTACTGGTTTGGGCTGGTATCATCAAAGATGAGCTTGTGGGGCCTTTTCGGGTTGAGGATGGAGTCAAGCTCAACTCCCAGTCCTACTGCCAGTTCCTGGAAGACACCTTCTTCAAGCAGTGGTACAGGAAGAAGTCTGCATCCTTCAAGAAAAACATGATTTTCATGCAGGACAATGCTCCATCACACGCGTCCAAGTACTCCACAGCGTGGCTGGCAAGAAAGGGTATAAAAGAAGAAAATCTAATGACATGGCCTTCTTGTTCACCTGATCTGAACCCCATTGAGAACCTGTGGTCCATCATCAAATGTGAGATTTACAAGGAGGGAAAACAGTACACCTCTCTGAACAGTGTCTGGGAGGCTGTGGTTGCTGCTGCACGCAATGTTGATGGTGAACAGATCAAAACACTGACAGAATCCATGGATGGCAGGCTTTTGAGTGTCCTTGCAAAGAAAGGTGGCTATATTGGTCACTGATTTGTTTTTGTTTTGTTTTTGAATGTCAGAAATGTATATTTGTGAATGTTGAGATGTTATATTGGTTTCACTGGTAATAATAAATAATTGAAATGGGTATATATTTGTTTTTTGTTAAGTTGCCTAATAATTATGCACAGTAATAGTCACCTGCACACACAGATATCCCCCTAACATAGCTATAACTAAAAACAAACTAAAAACTACTTCCAAAAATATTCAGCTTTGATATTAATGAGTTTTTTGGGTTCATTGAGAACATGGTTGTTGTTCAATAATAAAATTAATCCTCAAAAATACAACTTGCCTAATAATTCTGCACTCCCTGTAATGCCAGGAATACAAAGCTGTATTCCTGGCACTATAGCTCCCTTCTCCTCCTCCTCCCATGTTAGCAAATAAATGGTTAAAATCCCTTAATTTACTTACCTGATTCTTTCCGCCTCCTCCAACATTACTGATCAGGGGGTGCTAATGCGCATGCACGGCAAGTATTGCATGCGCATTAGGCACTTACCATAGTAAAGCACTGAATCAATGCTTTCCTGGGGGGAAATAGCTGATGCTGGATGTCCTCATGCAGAGCGTGAGGACATCCAGCATCACTTACAGGGCCAAAAGTCTGTTAACAGCCAGCAAGTGCCTCTAGTCGCTGTCTGGTAGAGAGCCACTGAAAGCAGACTTAGTGCTGCAATGTAAACATTGCAGTTTCTCTGGAACTGAAATGTTTTACATTGCAGCAATAGGGACACTGCAGCCAGACCACTTAAATCAGCTGAAGTGGTCTGGGTGCCTATAGTGTCCTTTTAACCCCTTAAAACCGGAGGACGTACAATTACGCCCTCTAATAGGCGGCTCTAAACGCCGCCGGGCGTAATTGTACGCCCTCTGGTTTTTGTTAACTTACCCGGTCGCCGGCGGTCCCACGCCGGCGATCGCGGTTGGGGGGACTCCCAGGGAGCCCCACGCGGCACGTCCGTCCTCGTCGAAGCCCCCCGGCCATGTGAGAGTGGGGTCCTAGCGAGGACCCCACAATCACATGGCCGGGTAGGCTGCCTCCTGCATTGCCAGCAGGGGGGCTGCCTGTAATGACAGGTGGTCCCCCTGCTGGCTGGAAATAAAATTAAAAAAAGTTAATCAGTGTAAAAAATAAATAATATATACTTAGATCATATGTATATGTTATATACATATGATCTAAGTATATATATACACATATACATACACACACATACACCGTCTAGGTGTATTTTACTATTAATATATATATAATTATATATATATATATATATATATATATATAGATATATATATATATATATTAATATCAAATTACACGTAGATCGATACTGATTAAATATATATATATAATTGCTTGTTATATATATATTTATATATAATATAAAAAAATAAAAATGTAAATACATTAAAAATAAAATTTAAAAATAATTTTAAATAAATAATTAAAAATATATAGATGTGTGTTATTTCGTTTCTAACTGTTTTAGAATTAATATATATATATATATATATATATATATATATATATCAAAAATACACGAGAACTTAAATAATATATATATATATCTATATACATAAATATATACT